TAAGAAATAAAACAGTAACCTTAGAAAGCAAATCCTAGCTACTATTAACATACTTATCAATATAATTTAGATATAAAAAAAAATCTATAAAGTAAAAGTATTATTATTATTATTATTATAGAATTTATAAGAGTGCTGCTAAAAAAATACTAATAAAAAACCAAAATTAGTACAAAAAAATACAAATAAAAAGCTATATTTATATTATAATTTTTATTAACTTGCAAATAGTAACTTTAATATATTATTATAAGACTTTTACTAGTAAATGAGATCAGGTCTTCTAGATAAAAACGTACAGAACTCTAAAACCTTATTAAAACTGAGATTGGGCCCTATTGGGCTTTTATATTAGCTCTATATTATATTATATAAAAGAAAATAATTCTTAATTTCCTAATTCTAGCCCTAAATTTTATTAGAAACAATTATATAAATACTAAAACACTATAGGTATATTTTATAATAATTCATATTATAAATATAATAACTATTATTTAGATAAACTGTAATTTATTTTTTTTTAATTATAAGGATGTAGCATCTACATTTAGACTTTATTAATACTTTAATAATTGATATATGATGATGCCTATATATATACATATTATATCAAGTACTAAAACTAGAATATCAGATATATAAACTATTTATCCATAGCTAAAACCCACTATAGCTAACTATATTCCCACTATACAGCTAATCTGGATTTGTATATCTCTCCCTAACCACCAATTAGTATTTACATATTCGCCATATTATCTACATTATCTACTTTTTTAACTTTCAAATTAGTGTGTATTTCTCCAAGTAAGCACTTGTTGCTTCTAGTTTGGTGTGTTTGACAGAGAATTATTCCCTTAGTCACTATTGGCATACTTCTAGAAGTTCATATTTCAAGCCATGTAGCTGCCTCTACCTAATTGGGTAAGTATCTCAAACCTTCATACTGCCATAACTAGCTGGTTTTCTGCAACTTTGAAATTTAAATCTTAATGTATCTATTTTGGTAATTGTGTCAAATTTATATAAATCACTTTTTTTTAAAAAAAATATTATATTCATAACACCCATGTTATATAACACCTATATAATTTTAATTAGAGATAGGTTAGAGTTAGAGTTAGAAATTAGAGACTTATTTTTTTTATATATAATATAATAGAGCTACTATAAAGGCCCGATAGGGCCTGATCTCAGTTTTTATGATGTTTTTGGGGTACTGAACATTTTTATTTAGAGGACCCGATCCCGTTTACTTAGTATGTTTTTGAGATATAGCATAAGGTGTTATATAACACGGTGTTATAAATATAATTTTTTTTTTTAAAATATTTAATAATATACTATGCTTTTAAAGATATATTATACAAAAGCTTATATAATACTAAATAATTGAATTACAAAATTAGATTTGTGTTATTTTTTATATTAATTATTATTAATAATAAATATTATATTTTTTTATTAATTTAAATATTATTTTTTTAAAATATTTTTTTTATTAATTATTAGAGTTTTATTTTTTAATATGTCTACATTGCAATATATCTTTGCTATATTTTAAAATTTTACTAGTAACCTCTATTATATAACTAACAAAAAAGTTTTTTTTATAATTTTATCTAACTCTAAATCTAATACTAACTCTAACTCTAACTCTAACTTTAAATAATATATATTAGCTAATTTTTATACTAATAATATATTAAATTATAATTAAATATTAGTTAGATTGGTTTATCACATGGTGTAGATATATTATTGCCAAAACAATTTTGTGTTTATGTTCTACTTTATTTATCAAAAAATGAAAAGTGTAAACAATGCCAATCTTTTGGAGGAGGTAAGCTAAATGCCTACTTTTTGTTAAAAATTTTGGTGAGATCAGTTACATATGAGATAGAGAAAAAAAATACTTGAAACTACTAAAAAAGCATGAGTTTTCTTTTACTAGAATCAACAGTATAACCAAGCCTACACAGTACTAAGTCTTTTTAGTAAGTAATAAACTCTTAACTTGTTGGCAAGTAGTGTATAAGAACTATTTCTAAATGACAAGTGCCATGTCTGCAGTAAAAAATAAACTCTAAGGCTGTTAGCAAATAGTGTATGAGAACTACTTCAAATAACAGCTATTAATTTATATTTTTTTCTCATATTTTATGTTAAAGTTTATAACTAAGCACTAGTGTACTGTATTTTTTTCAAGTAAATAGTTTTTTAGAAAATGTAGTCCAAGTAATCATCAGAAAGAGTTGATTATTACAATAATTGGCTTGTAAAGTAAATATTATTATTATATATCATATCTTTTTATTATACTATTAATATTTAGAGAGTTAGAATCCTGCAGCTTAGTAGTCTAGATACTCAACTCTTTATAAGCAGCAGTTTTTAGAAATATTTGAATATACTCACTATAGGAAGTCAAAGTGAAGTACTAGCCTAGAATAGGAATTTCTAAAAAGAGACCTATTGTAAAGAAGCTAGCACTATGTATATAGAAGGTCTTAATATGAAAAGATTGTACATATAAATTCTTAATTGGTATAGATAGTACCAATAACTCTAAAGCAACAATAGAGGCTTGGTTAGAAAGGTGACTAGACTATATTTGAATTAGAGTAGTAAAAAAAGTGATAAACACAACAAGAACTTTGGTAAAGAATTGGCATTACTAGTTTAAAAACATTTCTGGTATTTATATTATATAAAATTTTCTAATATAAAGTAAGTTTGCAGACAACTTGGATATGCTTAAAAAAAGACAAAACACTACAAAATTATATCTAATTGAAAGTACTTGTATGAAGCAAGACACAAAAACACCAAGTTTAAAATACCAAAGTACTATTATTGGAATTGGTATAATATGTATTACAAAAGACTTAGAAATTTTGATGCTTATAATCTGTAAGATTCACTAATTTGAAAAGCATCTGTTATCAAGACATGCATACATATTATTAATACTATAAATATTAGTAAGGCTGTGCTAAAAATATGAACTGAGTTATATAGTAAGACCTTTATAAGTGCACACTCTATAAGTGTATGCCCTATATAAATTCTCTCTAAATACATAGTATAGCTTAGCCCCAACTTATAAGAACACAATATATTTTGTTCTCTATAAATGTATACTCTCTTTAAGTACGTATTTTGCTTTTTTTTTTACTATAATCCTGAGAAGATGCACTTATAGAGGTCTTACTGTAGTAACATTATAAATAATAGCTTGAGATATAAACCTAGTTATAGCAAACAACATTTAGGGGTAAGTTAATAAAAATTAAGCAAATTTTTTATAATAATATTTTTTTATAACTTTAAACAAGATTAACTTAATAAAACCTTGAACAAATTTAACAAAAATTTTTTAAAATAATTTTTACAAACTTGTAGAATTAATTTAAAAAAAATTATTAAATTTGATTAAGTTTTTGTTAAGTTATTCTTGTTTAAAGTTTTTAAAAAACTTATTAAAAAAATTTGCTTAGTTTCTATTGACTCAACCCCATGTACTTATATACCAAACTAAAAATAGCTATGAAATTACACTTGCTTGGTGTCTTCTCATAGAATATATAATAGATAATACACTGGAACTATATTGGAAATATAGTATTGTAACTAAAATTTTATACTAAAAACTTTTGTTTAGAAGTCAAACTATGGTTATTGTAATAAAATGTTGAGCTATTTATGATTTTTCTGTTTTATCATTGAGAAAACAAAAAATCATAAATAACTCAAAATTTTATAATGATAACTGTAGTTTGACTTCTAAATAAAAGTTTTTAGCATGAAATTTAGTTGTTTTTTTTTTTTTTTGGTATTAAGGTGACCTTCATTGGCCTGGAAAACATTTTATTAGAGTATAGACAGAGTTTTATATGTAATTACAATGATGGTACATCAAGCCACACGTGTACCTTTTGAGTGCCTAATTTAATTAGTCTGCTCGAAGATTCTACACTATCTGCCGTACCTGCATCCCAACTAGAGGGTACCCATTTTAACTATCTGGTTCTAACTACCTCTATCGACCCTCTAACCCAGAGGGTTTCCTCACTAAACTAAGTAGATATTGGTATTACTCATATTGGCTTTTGCACCCTGCTTTAGGACTTACTAATCTATATAGGCCTAGTCTATTCTCAAGGTAAACCTAACACAGTGGTACATGTTCTACATATGTATTCACATGCTTGTTTTTATAACTTCTTCCTAATTAGTACATATTGACCTGCCATTCCGTATTCGTATCTCATACCACCATTTGGGGTGCTGCTATTCTACGGACATTTCTCAAGCACCAACCTTCCTAATTAGGTGCCCATTATATACTCTTTGCCATTGTTTTGGTACCCCGCATTTAGACTGTCTTCTTACTTGGATTCTTTATCAGTTCCTTCCTTACTTCCAGCTAGCAACCCGGAAGGGTCGAACTGCTCAGGCTTTAGGTGCCTAAAGGACGCCCTCTCCTTGGTCCATACTTTTGAAGCATATGTTCTTTTCCTCCAGTACGACAACCTGGTGGTTCAGCTGGTATGTCCTCTACCATTAGGACCTGGTTGCTTGGTTCTCCAATCTCAGGCCCTGGTTCAAATTCAGCCCTCCTGTAGTACCATCATAGATTGCTACTATCTCCAAACTCAGAACTTGCCAAATGAGTTTTGGTTATTCTAGTTCCTCAGATTTATTGTGCCAAAGCTCCCATAACTAGATCAGTGATGTACATTGGAAGTCTGGAACCCCATTGGACATCCAAATTCTTCCAGAGGTCCAGCAGTTCCAATGGGAATTCCCATTGGAAGAATTTTTCCTATTGGAACCTATATTATCGTTCTATTAAAATGCGTAGATACCAAATAACATTAGCCAATAAGAATGTACATATTTTCACATAATATTGCATAAAATCTCTACGATTATTAGCATTATATTAGACCCATATAAAAATTTATTACAATAAAGAATAAATTTCGCTGTTATCACTGTGGTATGGCACTATGTATTACTATTATATTGATTGATTTGGCAAATATGTCTTAATTTATTAAATTCTATGTACAATTACTTTAAATACTTCTATAGCATAACTATTAGAGATACAAATCTCAAATTAAGACGAATATTAGCTCAATTCAGTTTTGTAAAGAGAAAGATTAAGTATTCTTGTCTTGTTGTAAATAATAATATTTAGATATGGTAATTATAACAAAGTAATTGGTTAAAGTTTTGTAGATGTTTTATTTCTTTATCATGCATTATATTTCAATGAAAATGAGATAAAACCATGTATAGAGAAAGAACGAAAGGTATATTTATATATAATTTTATTTATATTTTTTTTTAATATCTAATAATGTTTCAAATTTAGATAAAACACTAAGGTTGGACAGGTTTCTGTAAGTTAATTACAAATTACTCATTTTACTCATATAATTTGGCTTTTGAAATAGCGCACTAAATAAACTGTCCAAATTCCATTTTGCTCTTTCATCTATCACCGGATGTCTATAATTGCTTAACAAGTCACTTTCCATATTGTCGTAATAGTTATCACGTTCTTCTTCTTCACCTTCTAGTCTGGCAACCTCTTCATCTATTAGCATTTGCTCCCAATCATGTAATTGGGTTTTTTAATTTTTAAGGTTTGATGATTCTATATCATATGACTCATTGTGTTCTTCGTCCAAATCAACTTCAAATTCATTTTGTACATCTGTGGCTTCACCAATTGGTGGTACACTGGATTGGTTATATGTAATATCATTAGTATTGGCTTGTTGTTTATGGTGAGAAAAGTTGATTGAAGCACAAATTTGGCACATAGCCAATACTTTTTTATTCTATGTTGAAAAAAAAATAATAAGTTTTTTAACAAAAAAATAGAATAAAAAAATGAATCTTACTAGAAGACGATTGCGACGATTAGTGTAAAGAAAACCCATTGAACTCCATAGGCGCTCTACCGATGCTGCGTTAACACAAATTCCAAATAAATGCAGTGCTAATGGACCTAGTTCTCTTGTTGAAGAAGAAGCAAAGTCCCAAAATTTCAATATGTCTTCTCCAAATTGCTCATATGATACAGAATCAAAAGGATATTTCTATTTTCTATAGTCTTCTAGTTCAAGTAAAATACAAACGGGTCGGCATTCAAACCATGCTTTGTAATAATAGGTGATAAACTGAGCGAGGTATGTAAAATTTAAATTTTCACTATTAGCATTAAACCAAGACATATGAATATTTGGGTTTAAAAGAAAAGCTAATAATAATAAAGGTTGTTCCCATTGTCCCTATCTTCGCTCTAGCCGCGAAATCATACATTGTGCCAAATCATTATCTGAGTATTCTTGCCACATTTTCAATATTCCACCAAAAGCTCGTAATACATAATAAAGACGTGCAGTATCTGATTGTAAGTTGTTGAGAGCACCACAGTAAGGAAGAAGTAAAGTACATAGTCGAGTTATTGTTTGCCAAA